GGCGTTTTCTCTTTTCCAGTTTCTAGATTTGATATGTGCTTCTCTTCCACCCTAAGAATATTGATTAGTTGAGTTAATAAGAGATCTCATTGTTTGTGCCTAAGACGCTTAGCAAAGTCATTCCAAGATGAAGGTAATTTATCGATAAAGCAAGACACTTAAAACTCCTCACTAAAAGTTGTCCCTTTCTTTTCTACTTTTCTAAGTAGTTCTTGAAACTCATGAATTTGGTCTCCTACAAGTATGTCATCTTTCATTTTATACCCATTAAAATTAGAGACAATGAACCTATCAATACCAGCATCTACAGTTCCAAATTCGGCCTCTAAGGTTTTCCATAGTTCTTTTGCAGTCGAGGTGGCTGACTGATACACATCATATAAATGGTCAGATAACACACTAAGGATTCTGTTATAACAATGAAATTCGATTTGTTCGGGTGACAACCAAAATCCAACAAAATCCTGATCTTTTATGGCAGACATAAGACCCAACTCAGTCAACCAATATTTTGTTTGTTTTTGTCATCTTTCAAAATTGTTACCATTAAATTTTTCAGGTTTCACACTAACAGTTTCTTCTAAATTAGCCATCAAAATAAATTAGTTAAGGTACAAGAGAGTAAACAATTATAAAATTTGTAAGAAACAACCATCATAAATGTTATTAAATTTGTAAATGACAATTAATTGCCAACAATTTAAGGATAGATATAAAATGTGGCAATTTGATACAAATCAAATCTGAACACAATAATTCATAACATGAACAATGTTAATCAAATATCATGAATCTGAACAAAATAATTTATCATATGAATATTTTGATTTTACTCTACAACTTTCCTAAGAATAATTAATAATAATAACAATAATTTAAAAAAAAAAACTACACAGAATCAACAAAATCAACAAATTCTGCAACTTCTTGAATATATATATATATATATATATATATAAGAATATAGTGACCCTGGTTTTGACCCGTCTCTTGTGGTGTTCTGGACTCGAGTTTGTATTGTTTGGATGGTGGTTCATGTCTTGCTTCCTTTGTCTTCCCCTTAATGTTGGTTATTGGGTTGTGGTTGTGTGTTTAGAACATGGTGGTTGCTTGTTTTTCCAAGTCTTTGTTGCCCAGAATTTGGCTCTTCCGCTCGAGCGGGCATTCTTGCGCTCGAGCGGGCTTCACAAAATGTTTCACGCTCGAGCGGACCGTGTTATAACAGGTCGCGAAAGTGACATTGTAGATCACTTTTCTGTTGTCTCTCTCTCTCTCTAAAAGTCTCGAAATCTGCAGATCTAGAGCCTTTCTCTCTAGAAATCAACATCTCTCTTTGATTTCTCCAAATCCATTGAGATTTTGGCCATAGTTCCTTCATGAAAGTTGTGTAACTTCTCAAGGGCTTCGTTGTGTACGGTGGAGATCGAGTTTCATCATCGTTGATTTTGGGGGTTTCAACTCTTTTCTTCTTCTAAGCTTGAGGTAGGGATTTTCTACACTCTAATATGGTTTTTAGCTTAGTTATTTGCTATTGTGTATAGATGATGAGATTTGGTTGTGGTTTGGACAAATCTAAGATTTGGGTGTGAAATGAAAAGAGGGATTTTTTATGTACAAGAGATAAATGAGTATGGGGTTTGAATATAAGGTCTTGGTGTACCAAAATAGTTGATTTTGGGTGTTTGGGTCAATATTGGAAAAATGGGGATTTTTGCCCTAATTTGATAAAATGATTATTTTGTATAAATAATTGGTATTAACATTGAATATGTTAAATTGGATGGTTATGGTTATAAATGGTGATATTGGATATGTATTATCTCACCTATGGAAGTTTTGCATAAACTATTTATTTTGATACTGAATATCTCTTTAGAAATAAATGCATTGGGCTATCGGTGAAGGATAGTCATAATTGTTGTAGAAATTGTATGAGGATTAGGCGATTTAATGCTAATCTATTGTTGTGTCATTGAATATGACCATATTTATAAATACATTGTATATGTATGTTTATTGGGAGAAGAAAGGGAATGTACTCCATATGTGATTATGTTTATAAATAAATTGTATATGTGTGTTTATTGGGAAAAGAAAGGGAATGTACTCCATATATGATTATGCTTATAAATACAATGCATATGTATATTTGTTTGGGAGGAGAAAGGGGATGGACTCCATTTAAAGCAAGTTGGCCGAAGTGTCCTGGGTGAAAGACCCGAAATTTTATATATAAATGGGTGCCGCTTCTTCGGACGAAATATCCGTAAAATGGCAAGTTTGAAGTGTTTATGTTTGTTTTGCATAAATGGAAAACCATTGAGTTGTAGTCTCTTTTTGGTTGTTGAAAGATAATGAATTTAACTCAAGAATTGAGTAGCATATATGGACTGGAAATGATTGGGGAAAAATGGATTAAGATTGGTCTTAGTGGCATATGGATATGCAAGCCTTGTGGATACTTCCGTATCGGTATTGTTTATATACGTGGTATTTATACCTTTGCTAAACCTTATATATTGTGTTAGATTATCTCTACTGGGCTGTTGGCTCACCCTATATGAGAATATCATTTTCAGGTGCAGGTGAGATGTTTCCACCAAGGCAATAGTATGGATGGACTTTTAGGAAGCAAGAGCTTCTTAATTATGCATTTTGTGTGTATGTTTGTTATTTGTAAAGTCAGAGGGCTAAGTGTGTAAAAAAAATTCACAATTGACTTATGAGTAAATAAATCTGATTTGTAAGACTTATTTTTAAATTTATACTTTCTAAATATTTCTAAATTTTGTAATTTTTTTTTCACAAACTGAGTCATAAAACTCCAATAAAGCAAAAAGTATAAACAATAAATAAAATTAAAAAATATTAATTTAACAAGCCTGATTTATTTTTCACATCTCTAAAAAAATTAGCAACAAATATTTTCACAAAATTTTATCTTAATTTGAAATTCCCTCTCAAATTGGGGATTCCCCCCAAAATTTTGCCCTAACCCTTCTCTGTTTCTCATCTCACTCTCACACACAACTCCTTCTCATTCCTCACTACAAGAAAAGTGGGTATATGAGACGGAACTATTTGCGACGACACACTTTGTCGCTCATCACTCTGTCTCTTTCTCTGTCTCTCTATCTCTTTTCTCTATTTGTCTCTCACTCATCTCTCTCCCTCACTACCCATCTTCTCTGCCACATTTACCACTACTGCAAATGCCATTCAACTACCACCACTCTTCTCTTTCTCTCTTTTACTCATTACTCTTCTTTCTCTGTTTGTTTGTCTATCTGTCTGTGTGTCTTTCGTTCATCTTTCTTCTCTCTATCTCTCTCATTTGTCTTCTTTCTATGTCTCTCTCGCTCATCTCTCTTCTCTCTATCTCGCTCATCTCTTTTCTCTCTCTGTCTCTCTCATTCATCTCTGTTCTCTCTATCTCTATATTTTTCTATTTTCTCTCACGTTCATCTCTTTTCGCTCTCTTTCTATATATCTCTCTCATCTCTTGTTTCTCTCTATTTTTCTATATGTCTCTCCCTATCTCTTTCTCTCTCTGTCTCTCTGTCTCTCTATATCTCTTTATCTCTTTATCTCTCTCTCACTTATCAATCTTCTCTCTTTTTCTCTCTCTGTGTGTCTGTTTGTCTGTCTCTTACTCTTCTCTCTCTCTCTCTCTTTCTTTCTATGTGTCTATCTATTTGTTTATCTCTCTCCCCTATTGTGTTCACATTGCTCACTCTCTCCCTCATCTCTGTGTCTCTCACTCATCTATCTCTTCTTTCATCTATTTTCTCATCTATTTTCTCTCTCTGTCTCTTTCGTTCATCTCTCTTCTCTTTATCTCTCTCGCTCATCTCTCTTCTCTCTATCTTTCTCTCTGTCTCTCTCGTTCATCTCTCTTCTCTTTATGTCTCTCTTGCTCATCTCCCTTCTCTCTATCTCTCTCTGTCTCTCTCGTCCAACTCTCTTGCTCATCTCTCTTCTCTCTATCTCTCTCTGTCTCTCTCGTCCAGCTCTCTTCTCTCTATGTTTCTTTTCTGTCTATCACTCTCTCTCACCACCCATCTCCTCTACCACCTTCACAACTACTGCAAACACCATTCCACCACCACTATTACTTCTACTATCGCTACTTCATCTCTCTTCTCTCTATCACTCTGTCTCTCTCGTCCATCTCTCTTCTCTCTATGTCTCTTTTCTGTCTCTTACCCTCACTCTCTATCTCTTTCTTTCTCTCTCTCTCTCTCTCTCTCTCCTCTATCTGTCTCTCACTCATTTCTCTCTCTCACCATCCATCTCCACTACCACCTTCACCACTACTACAAACGCCATTCCACCCCCACCACTACTTCCACTATCGCCACTTCACCTCTACGACCACTATTACTACTATCACCACCACCACCACACCACTACCACCACTACCACTGCTACTACCATTACCTCTCTTTCACCCTTGCCACTCCATTTACACTACCACTACCACAACTTCACCACTAATCTCTTTCGCCATCCCCATCACCACCACCATCATCTCTTATCCACGAATGAAAATAAAAAAATTAATTTTTAATCTTTGCCGACCAAGATTTTGGTCGCCAAATGTTAACTTTCGGCGACAAAATTGCTTTTGGTCGCCAAAGACCTACCTTTGGCTACTAAACTATTTGGTAGCCGAATGAAAATAAAAAAATTAATTTTTAATCTTTGCCGACCAAGATTTTGGTCGCCAAATGTTAACTTTCGGCGACAAAATTGCTTTTGGTCGCCAAAGACCTACCTTTGGCTACTAAACTATTTGGTAGCCGAATGAAAATAAAAAAAAATTAATTTTCAATCTTTGCCGACCAAGATTTTGGTCGCCAAATGTTAACTTTCGGCGACAAAATTCCTTGTAGTCGCCAAAGACCTACTTTTGGCTACTACATTTTTTGGTAGCCGAATGAAAATAAAAAAATTAATTTTTAATCTTTGCCGACCAAAATTTTGCTCGCCAAATGTGCCCTAATGTTTTTTTGGCTCAGAATTTGTTAAACACTTGAAAACTCCATTCTCATTCCCTCACTCTCGTGGCCTCGAACGGCACAGGTATGTCGTCTCCTCTCTTCTTCTTGTCTTTTTCTTCCTCTCGCTCTCACTCTCTCGCAGCGCCGACTACACTAGCATTGGTGCTGCCCCTTTGTTTCCCTCTCCTCTGTTCTTCTTCTCTTCTCTTCTTTTCTCTCCCTCCGTCTCGCTCTCCCTCTCTCACAGTGCCAACTGCACTGGCAGTGGCGCTGCCCTTTTTTCTTTTCTTTTTTTCTCTTTGTTTACCAGCAGCTGCTTTCGTGGAAGATGTCCACACCTACCTCTCTCAATTAGGTCTCGATGTCAACTCTGCCCTCTCTTTCCTCCAAGAAAGGTTTCTCTTTTTTCCTTCTCTCTCTCTGTATCTCTCTACTTTGTTTCATATATGTCTAGGTTTATATCTTTTGGACATACCCATGTTATTATTTGACAAACCCAGATCAAAATCCATATGGGTTTTATTGTAGGTTTTAGAAATCCATTGTATCTGTATCTATTTTTTCAGCTTGAGTGACTTGGGTTTGATTCCCTTTTCTTGATCTTGTTGTAATTGTTGTAGTTTATTACAACTTTTACATGCACTGGACTTATTGTTGATTTGAATTCAGTTACTCTATTACATCGAATGTTCATTTGAACTTACTCTGAAAATTGGAAAATTGAATTGCTCTGTATGTATATTGTTCTTCTTGTTTGTGAAATCCAACTAGTTCCTACTGTCACCATTCAGTCCCCAATTGTATGTAATCATACTTACAAGTTACAATATGTGAACTACTTTAGCTCTCATTCTGATAATGCAAGTGAAAAAAAAATTCTGTTTTGGGGATGAGCTGAGCTGGTAAATTTCAGGTAGATCCTTTTGATTCTGTCGCCTAGAACACTTATACTCTTATCTTACTTTTGCCAATAAGCAGTCATGGACTTGTGACAAAACCTTGAATTTTGCTTAAATTTTCATATTTTTTTGCTATTGAATCAATCTCTGAATTTAATGGATGTTTAAAACACAAATAGCAACTTGCCATCATGCCCCAAACCAAATCTTGACATGCTTAAGCTTCAGTTACTTTGCAACCCACACAACATGCATGCACATATTTATAAATAAACAAATCAATTTGTAATTCATAATTTTCATATTATTATTCGTTTTTATATGAAATTCTTTATTTTATATATCCTATATGAGATAGGAATACATAAATGCATAAAACCTGGTACATTAAGCTTAATTAACTAGATTGGTGGGAACAAATCTTGTTAGTTAATTTTTAAAATGTAGGACACCTTAGGAAACGTGTGTTAAGGCTGCCTATTATTGGAATTGTGGTGGATTTTATGAAAAACTTCTAGGGTTACTATGGGTAGTAGAAAGTTTCCAAGGATTGTGAGATGTGGGTGGATTTTTCAAAAAAGTAGGTTGTTGAATTTTCAAATTCATTGTTGTTAGAAGTCATGGATAGAAGCCATTTATAGTCTTTAGTTCTAAAGCAAAGGCTTGTTGATAGTTGTAATATTATTTTAGTCTAAGGGTAGTTTAGTAAGTTTAGTCTTTGTTTCCTAATTATGATTTAGTTCTTGGTATTTATATTTTGTGCATTTAATCTTTGATTATTGAGATAATATTACAACTCTAACATGTTAGGGGTCAATAGATTAGGATTTTAGCATTGAAGGAATGACTTTTAGGGGCTTGTACCCTAAGAATTGTGATTCTATGGAAAAAGAAGAAGAAGAAACTGTAGGTACTCCACCTAGACTTCCTTAGGAATTCCTATTAGGAGGTTGCACAAAGAATGATAGAATTTCAAAAGTTTCACATAAATTCTATAAAACTCAACTCATACGAATAAAAAGATTACATAAGTATTTATAGGCTGTTGGTCACTCCTCATTCTGTTAGGACTATGACACACAATTTAGAAAACTAAGAAGATTTGACCAATAAACATGCTTCATACCAAATACAGACTCTGTATAAGACCTAATGATATTGTTTGACCTGTAATATGACTCCTGGACTAACCCTACACCCGTCTAACAATTTTCAAAATTATGAAAATAATCCTCACTAGTCAAACCTAATAAAAATATTAAATATGTGTGGCATCATTGTGGATTAATGCAATAATGCCATTGTAGTGTAAATGTAATTTCTGGACATGTTTAATTGGAGACAATATATTGAAAGGCAGCCACCTTTACGTGATTATGCAGTATTAGTCTTGTGATGTAGTTCCTGCTCTAATTTTTTGCTCAGGCTTCAGCAATACAGGTTGGTCGAGATTAAACTTCTTGCACAGCAGAGGGCTCAGGCTTCAGCAATACAGGTTGGTCGACATGTTTATTTTTTCTATCAAACTCTGTCTTATACATTTAACCAATAGCATTTCTTGCAATATAAATTTTATAAACTAATAACAGGCTAGACAGTAGCCCTGGAAAGGACTCCTAGCTTTACTTAAAATTTAGGGAAATTATAACCAAAGTAGAAACTCCTAAAAATTAAAATTCCTAACTAACGTGACTTTCTATGCAAGAGCTCCTTTATTGGCTAATGATGCGCTTTAAGTGGGCTGTTTTTGGAATCCTTGTGTTTCTATCCGTCTATCCTTTATTAACAGTTTGTGCGTGTTCTCAGTGGACAGAAGGAATGAGAGGAGAGAAACATGAAGGGGCATATATAATCAGTTAAAAAACTCATCTTAGGTAAAGGGCTCAAGGAACTGAAATGCATCTTTATGTAAGATGCACCTGTGCTTTATGAACTGTCTGACAGATTTGTGTAAAATGCAACCAAACTTAGAACAAAGCATATAAAATGGAGTAGGAAAATCCCTACCTCGAAGAAAATAACCCGTATGGGGAAGATGGAGATGAAGACCAAAGACCAACGTGCTCCAAATCCCAAGTTTCTCAGATTAAAACGAAGCCCTCAACTCACTCTAACTTTTTAATAAAGGATCTAAGGTAGAAACTCACTCTAAGTAGATCAATCGAAAGAGAGAAGGTGTGTAGAGGGAGAGAGAGAGAGATAAAAACACTCCAGGGGCGGTTTTTAAAAAGTTATGAAGGAAAAGTAGGTCAAAAAGTGATCCAAAAAGTGAAATCACGGACTGATATAATCGACTCTATGCTCGAGCGTAGAAAGCCCCGCTCGAGCGTAAGACACAGAATCATGCTCGAGCGTGAAGAAAGCCGCTCGAGCGTCGATTGCACCCTTCCAGAAGTTTTGCAGGCGCTGGCACCCGCTCGAGCGTCAAACGCCCTGCTCGAGCGGAGGAGCAAAAACAAGGGATCACGCTCGAGCATAAAAACTACCGCTCGAGCGGAAGAACTGCAGAGCAAAATACTGGGAGATGGAAAATCAAGCTCGAGCGTCAAAATTACCGCTCGAGCGGAGAAGCAACAACGAAGGGACCGCTCGAGCGTTAAAACTTCCGCTCGAGCGTGAAGGCCAAAATCTGGGCATCACCTATTGGCATCTAAAATCAACCAACCTGTAACAGACCCGCCCAACCCAACCTATACTTCAAATACAAAGAGATTAAAGGACAACAACAACCAATAAGTAATGACAGGATCCACAGAACCTAAGTCCGGATACAATAATTTAAAGAGAAAAGACCGGGGTCGCTATAACAGTTTCTTCTAAATTAGCCATAAAAATAAATTAGTTAAGGTACAAGAGAGTAAACAATTATAAAATTTGTAAGAAACAACAATCATAAATGTTATTAAATTTGTAAATGACAATTAATTGCCAACAATTTAAGGATTGATATAAAATGTGGCAATTTGATACAAATCAAATCTGAACACAATAATTCATAACATGAACAATGTTAATCAAATATCATGAATCTGAACAAAATAATTTATCATATGAATATTTTGATTTTACTCTACAACTTTCCTAAGAATAATTAATAATAATTTAAAAAAAAAAAAAGCTACACAGAATCAAACGCAATTCACACTACTTCCGAAATTAATTGAATAGAATTAATACTTCATGCAAATCAATGGAGTCAAACAAGGTCACATGTACAATACAAACAGTTTTTATATTGTATTGTAATCAAACAAGGGACATTTACCAAATTGACTATGTGAAAAGAAAAAAAAAATAGATTTTTATATGTTACAATACAACGCAACAAATTTAACTGGGGAAAAAAAAATTAATTTCAGAAAAAATTTAACAATGTCTGTGCACAACAAATCAAATTATAGAATACAAATAAAGAAAAGATTGAATAAGTTATAGACTAACGACTTTAGATTGTTGTGGGAATTGAATAATAATTATTTTAAATCAATTTTATAGAATAAAATTGAAAGCAAAACAGATTCTGAAAAATAAGTTTTTATAATTCAATAAAACTATATATACATATAAAAGGAGTTTTGTCAAACGGGATTGCCAAGAAATAAAACCTAACAGAATAAGTTATTGACTAACGACTTTAGATTGTTGTGGGAATTGAATAATAATTATTTTAAATCAATTTTATAGAATAAAATTGAAAGCAAAACAGATTCTGAAAAATAAGTTTTTATAATTCAATAAAACTATATATACATATATACAGAATAAGAAGAGGATGAAGAAAAGGGTTCAGAAATAGCCTGTGTGATTTTGAGAAGCACGTCAAAGATGCTGTCCTAAAGTCGTTATGCGCTCCCTCTATACAAATTTTAATGATCACAAACGACTCCAAGATACAACCCAAAATTTTACAGGATATGATACAATGCACATCTACACCAGAAGAATTTGCCAAGAATGTATCGATTGTTCAGAAATATGAAATATAAAAATACTGTAAAGAGGAGAAGGAGCGAATGAGAGAAAATAGAGAACGCTGTGTATATTTCTCAATGTTAGAGTCCTATATAAAAAGGCTCTATGGTGTCTATTAAGAACAGACGCACCTATTGCATTTGAAACCAAACACATACTTAAAATTCAAATAAATAAGACTATTAAAGAAAGAAATAAATAAATAATAAAATATAATAATAAATAATTAAAGTTTTGAAACTTTTGAAAAATCTCCAACGAATGAATACAACTTTCCTTTTCCAAATCCGTAAAACACAGCATAACAAAGATAGATTAATAGATTAAACTAATGTTTTTCTCATCCAAAAAGAATCCACCATGTAATATTTTCATGACTAAAACCAAAGAGCTGAAAAACCACCATGTAAATTTTTCACCACCAAAACCAAACAATCGAAAAATATTGTTGATTTACACTTCTATATTAGCATAGCAAAACGATTAATATAATTCTTCCATTGCAGCAACATTAGGATTCGTTTTGGTGAAAGAAAATAAATTTGGAAAGTTGAAAAAAAAAATAAAGATTTAATTACAAAAATATAAAAAGTCACCAAAAATATATTTGAGTTTTCAAAAATAATTTTCAGAGTTTAAAATTCATATTTTTTATATATTTTTTATATTTTCTATTTTTTTTTAAATTTATAAATATTATTCTTTTTAAGTGTAATTAGATTATGTGTGTGAGAACCCGAATATAAAAATTAAGTAAATAATTAAATAATAATATTGCAATCTCAAATATTTTGGTGGTGAATTCTAAGGTGCAAATTAAATATTATTGGAGGATCCTTTAATTAATTTTTAAACCTAAAATAAATTTATGGTGAAAGTCATTGATTTAGAAGCAAGATTTATTATTAAAAAAAAAAAATATACTTTTTAAATATATTTAAATATATATAATATTAAAAAATTACTAAAAATAAAAAAACAAAAAAATAGGAAACCAAATGGAATGAGGATCCCGAACACACATCTTGAAAATTGAAGAAGAATCCTAATAATAGACTTTGAATTGTGTAATAGGGAGTCAATCATAAAATGCCGCATTGAGATGGAGAACTTATTAGTTGACATTGGGTATCGTCACGTGGTATTTTAATAATGTTGTGATTAGAGCAACTTTAACTATATTTTTTATTTTTCACTAATTAAAGTTTTAAAAAAATACTCTTTATTTTACCTAATTAGTTTAGCTATTATGTGTTTCAATGATACTCTTTATTTTAGCTAGTCATTAAAACTAACTTAACTAATTTTCAAAACAAAAAATACTATATATATTATTGTCTTTTTCATAGAATGCCACATATGCACCAAATGTTAATATAGTTGCCAATGTAACATTTGCAATAATATTTTTAAAAATAATATTTAAGTAATATTTAATTTTTTTTTTATAAAATTTATAGTATGTGAATATATACTAACATATGAATTTTGTGGAACCATCTTGAAGAGGAGGGGAGGAGAAGAATAAAAGAAAACAATAAAGAATTTTAAAAAAAAAAGAATAACACAAAGGAAGTTCTTCCATAATTGTAATTTATCAAATTATAAGAACCAAAAAAACACAAATTAACTAATCAAAAACCTTACAAAGGTAAATGAATAAAATAAGAAAAAAAATCATAAATAGCAAAGTTAGGAATAAACTTCAAAATAAATAAACTATTTCTAATTCAAGTTGTTACATATCTCCATGTAGATGCCACAAATGCTCAACTAAGGCTGCTTGGAGTTTAGAATGAGTTTGCCTATCTCTGATGCGATGATGATTTTGAATGAATTCATAAAGTTCGGGTGTACGTTCGTGTGACATTGCTGGAGGGAGACTTTCATCGATTGCATCATAATTACAGTCTATATTTTGTTCATTTCGCTTATCCTCAACAATCATGTTATGCAATATTTGTAGCACTTGCACCCTTTTTAAAACTTTTGGGAAGTATATTTGAATCATTTATTATGTTTTGGGAATCTTTAGAGTTGTGGTATCTTGATTTTGGATGAGTGAAAATTGATTTAAACTTGTTAGGATTGTCCGTTCACGCTCGTTCGCGTTGAAAAGTTGTTTAGCAACATGAAAACCTTGTTCTGGGGTCGACACCAGTCTTGGTGGTGTTGACACTTTCTGTTTTGGTTGGCCACAAGGGTCGACACCAATCTGGGATGGGTCTACCCTTTGTTTCTGAAGTTTGCTTGCTGGAAATTGGGATAGACACCAGTCTGGAAAGGGTCTACCCTTTGCATGCTGTCAAACATAAGCTTCTCTTCATAGGGTCGACTCTTGTGTTGCAAGGGTCGACCCCTGCAGATTTTTTTCCAGATTTCTGTACGGTTTTTGGTTATACTTTTTGGGGATTTTGACTTGATCTTTTGGGTTGATTTTGGGACTTTATTTTACTTTGACCTAGTACTATAAATAGGCTTCCACTCAACTCATTTATTTATTTCTTTTTCTCTTTTCTCCCTCTAAAACCGTGAGACCCTCTCTCTCTTTCTTAAAAAGCACTTTTCATTCAAAATCTTTAGATCTACTCTCTTGGAAGCATCTTCTTGCCTTGCTCCTTTGAGAAAGATTGTAGATCTCGTCAAGAGCTTCGTTTTGATCCAAGTAGAAGTTGGTTTCGACAACTTTGGGGTTTTAACCTTTTTGCTCATCTTCTCTTCCAAGCTTGAGGTAGGGACATTCTTGAGGTATATATACATGTTTTGCAAGGTTTAATGTTGGTTTTATGTTTATCTTGGTCCCATTATGAAATTTTAGTTTTGTTTCAAAATGATGAGTTTTTTTTTAAAAAACGAGGATCTAAACTTTAAATGTTCTAAGAGATCCTTGAAGCCTTTTTCCTATGATATGAGAAAAATGATCTTGATGAGCTTTCACATGAAAATAGGTGGCGTTTTGGGTTTTGAGAAAGA